GGACGAACTCTAGCAGACGAGATACTCGACGCGAGATTAGACCCGTCGTCATTGTTTGTTAATTAGGCCTAATTTCCGCCATGAGCCATGAACGCCTAGCTACAATGTGAGACAGGAGGGTGATTTTTTAATTTTTTTTTTTTGGGGAGGGTGCAAGTTGTAGACAATGGAAGGAGTCGCTCCCGTCCGTCCGTCCGCTCGAATGCATGGAGTCTCTCGGTCCGACCGTCCGCTGGCTCGCTAAATGAACTGTTGTCTCTGTCCGGTGTGTAGCAAGTAGCGAGTAGCGAACTACTCTTCACAAACGGACAGTTCGTTACCCGTCCGCTCGTTTGCTGGTAGTGCCAGCGGGTAGTTCGTTACTCGCGGACGCTAATTTTGCGAGCCCGACCCAAACATGCCCCAGTTACCTCCCCGTCATCACCAAACATGCCCCAGTTACCTCCCCATCACCACCAAACATGCCCCAGTTACCTCCCCATCACCACCAAACATGCCCCAGTTACCTCCCCATCACCACCAAACATGCCCCAGTTACCTCCCATCACCACCAAACATGACCCAGTTACCTCCCCGTCACCACCAAACATGACCCAGTTACCTCCCCGTCACCACCAAACATGCCCCAGTTACCTCCCCGTCACCACCAAACATGACCCAGTTACCTCCCCATCACCACCAAACATGACCCAGTTACCTCCCCATCCAGATGACACAGAATGAGCGGCACACACGGCAGAACCACGGCCGGCATCCTCTCCCCCAGCTCCACCAGGAAGCCAGCGTACGCCTTAGCAGATGCAGAGTCTTTGGCCGCTTCTCTCGAGTTAGCGCTGCCAATCTCTCTGAAAATAATGTTTAAATAGGGATAAAAGTTTAGTTTTAGTAAGAGTTTTACGGCACTTGCAACACAATAAGGTCATAAGTGCCGAAGATTAGAGGTGTTACAAGAGAGTAACAAACATAAAAAAGGAGGAGAGATAAAGACGATAGTTGTTCAATAGGACAGAAGAAGTAAACCATACCAGAGCACCCGCCAACCACCCACCAACATATATGTATGAATTCGAACATACAATTGCCATTGAATAAACAAATAAGGTAGGAGCTTGGGACATTTGACATCATGTAATTTCACTTAACATTGAGCCACCAGATTCCAGCCCACAACCCATCTGACCCCAGCCCAGGAGCCCACGACCGCCCTGACCCCCACCATCTGACCCAGAATTCAAGTCCCTTGACCCTAGCCCACAACCCACTGACCCCCCCAGCCCGCGACCCA